ACGAAGGCCTGGCCACAGTTCTTATTTCTGGAAGCATTCACTGCTGCAGCCCCTACAGCAACGATAGGATTTATAACCAGCTCTTGAAGTTTGCGGCAAAGAAACATGATCTGTAAATCTCAGATTCTCAACAAAGAAAGCATCTCGTCACTAAAGAGGCACAGTAACCTCCTTTGGGACCTTCTTACAAACCTGCAGACCCCACTCCTCCTGGCTGCCCTTCATGCTGAGGACAGATCCAGGGTGCAGAAGGAGGGGTTCACAGAAAGAAGAATGAGGAGGGAAACGAGAAGAGGAAAGCCACTGCTTTGAATTAGTCCTCCCTTTTAAAGGTACAGACGGTGTTACAGCAATCACAGAAATTACAAATATTATTAAACATCCCACATTCTCATCACCCTAAAATCTTTTTATTTTCCCATTTCCTTTTTGGTTCATGCTAATACATATATATACTTGTATTTTCTGCGAAATTGTAATTTATTTCCTTTTCCTGTAATTCACCTGAGTTTGTGTCTCAAGTCCACCTCCACACAATAGGAGGAATTGTAGGTTAGTTACTTCCTTGTAAGTGTGAACAGATTCAGTGGTTTTTGTCATTTCTGCTCTATATTCAGTCATCCAGGGTGCTGCACACCTCATCCTTGGGATAGATGCTGAAGGGACCTGGATCTTTGGGGAGGGCTTCCACCGCTGGGCATTGATCTGTCTCAGGCCTGTTCTAGGGTCAGCTTACTGTGGCATGGGGGCCTCGGCTTTCTGCTGCCATCACTGCCTTTCGGGCACTTCTCTATTGCTGTCATGTCGCAAGAACTGTGGATGTTCCTCTCCATTCCTCTGGAAGCAAGGCTCAAATCTTTAGGGCTCCCATAGCCTCATGTAACCCTAACCCTACACCTAACCCTAACTCTAACCCTAATCCTAACCCTAACCCTAACCTCCTGTTCTCCCTGGAATTCTGCTTGAAGGTGAAGGACAGCATTTCTGAACTGATTCTTATTTTTATTTCTTTATACTCCTGCCTCAGCTCAAAGAATATCTAGTTCCCCAGATCTAAGAAAGCTGACGTCTTTGTGCCCTGGTTCCATTTTGAAAATGCCACCTTAGGAGCCAGGCCTGCTTCTATCTTCAGTCACAGAGTGGAGGAAGTTAAAACACATTAAAAGGGAACAATTATTTAAAATTTCATGAAATCAGCCTGTCACATTTGTAACTATCATGTAATTGTAACTTTGCACTGGGACCATTTAACACGGTACCAGAAGGATTTTGCTTTTAGGTCATCAAGTGATCATTTTTAGTAACGGCAAAAATGATTGGCTACTATTGGACATTTATCTCTAATTTTTAGATATTGGACATAGCACTGCTATACGAGTTAGTAAGTTTTGGGGGGAAAAATAACTTATTTTAACAAAAAACCTGAGAATGCAATTTTATAAAATTGTTCTGAACTAAAGTGAATAGAGCAATTGCTTGCATGATGGCTGGGTGCCCAGGAGCTCTTATCATAAATAATTCTGCATATTAGGAACCCTAGTCCTTGCCCTCCGCTGATTGCTATCATCTGCATCACCCTGACGTTCGAGGGTGCAGTGTTTCAGAAAAAATGAGAATCCTCAGCAGCCAGGAACTGTTGTTTTCTGTGGATGGGATCAAGGAAGGAGATTGGACACATTATTGAATAGAACTTTCTCTTCATTGGCTTAAACCTAACCACAATTTTACAGTTTGAAATTCTAGCATCATTTTTCCCCTACCATAGTAAAAATCTAAGTCATTTCTGCTAATTTTCTTGACACAGTTTAAAAATTGCATCATTTGAGAAATTCAAGAACTACTGAATTGTAAAAAACAAAAGAAAGAAAGAAAGAAAGAAAGAAAGAGCACTAATAAAGTCCCAAGAACAAAACAAGTTGAGTATCCTGATTCTTACAAAGTAAATTTGTAAGAATTTTTTATCTAAAGATATAAGATTTTTACAGGACACTTCCCAATATCCTACCTATGAGATCTCCATTTTGATGTCATGTTTGCTTTTATAAAACACTAGAGGCCCAGTGCACGAAATTTGTCCATGGGGGGGAAGGAGGAGTGTCCCTCAGCCCAGCCTGCACCCTCTCCAATCTAGGACCCCTCAAGGGATGTCTGACTGCCTGTTTAGACCCAATCCCAGGGAGATCAGGCCTAAACAGGCAGTCAAACATTCTTCTCACAATCCAGGACTGCTGGCTCCTAACTGCTCGCCTGCCTGGCTTCCTGATTGCTCCTAACCACTTCTGCTTGCCAGCCTGATCGATGCCTAATTGCTCCTCTGTCAGCCCAATTACCCCTAACTGCTCTCCCTTGCCAACCTGGTAGCTCCTAACTGCCCTCCCTGCTGGCCCGGTCACCCTCAACTGCCTTCCCCTGTAGGTCTGGTCCCCCCAACTTCCCTCCCTTGCAGGCCTGGTCACCCCTAATTGCCCTATCCTGCTGGCCTGGTCCCCCACAATTGACCTCCCTGCTTGGTCCCCATGACCCCTGGCCGGCCTAAAAGGCCCAAGCACTTCAGCCTCACTGCTCAGTCCCAGACATTCCAAAGGCAGTAGAGCAGCGAGGCTTGATCCACTACTGGAGTAGGCGGATCCTGCTTCTCAGCTTGGTCCCCGCAACTTTTCGCCAGGCCAACAGGCTCAAGCACTCTAGCAGCAGGGCTGAGGGGACTGAGCACCACCATATTGTGGCTATGGGCACCGCGAACTTTGTGATGGAGTGATGGTTAATTTGCATATTTTTCTTTTATTATATAAAATCAAAGAACAATATGCTAATGATATGCTAAGGCTGCTCAACTACTCGCTATGACGTGTACTCACTACTAGGGGGCAGATGCTCCAACCGGTAGGTTAGCTTGCTGCTGGGGTCCAGCTGATCGAGACTGAGCGAAATGGGCTGGACACACCTAAAGCCCTCACAGTTGCTCCCCAGTTGGCCAACCTCCTGCACCCCTCCCTGGCCCTGACCATCTACCAGTGGGGTCCCTTGGCCTGGCCTGCGCGGATTTCAATCTGGGACCCCTCAGGGGATGTCGAAGAGCCAGTTTTGGCCTGATCTCGCAGGCCAGGTCGAGAGACCCCACTGGTGCACAAATTCATGTACCAGGCCTCTAGTAGAAAGATATGTGGACATACGTCCTGTATTTCAAAAGAGCTTATCACATAGCCTAAGCAGCAGACATATTCGTCACTATTTTGTAAGGAGGCCAGAGGGGTGAGTAGACATTCTGGCTTTATGCCATGGGAGCACAGAGGCAGGAGCAAACCAATTTTGATTGGGAGATTCAGGATGGCTTGACCAAGGAAGGAGCCTTTTAGCTGCTCTGAAAGAAGTAGCATTCTGAGAGTTGGAGAAGGGAATTCCAAACTAAGGGAGCAGATGAGCCAGCCTTCCTTAGTAAGGAGGTGCACCCCTGAGCAAAGGGGCGGTGGGTCTGGGCAGATCATACTGAAGCTGATTCTGAAAGGCAGTTGAGGCCTGATGGTGTCCATTTTCAAGAGTCCAGATTAATTTGGTTTGGACTTTTTAATACTGTCTCTGGGGAAATAGCTTATGTATTCTTTCTGTTCTTTTCCACCATCCTATTCACCATTTAGGGATGTGAGCCTCTTACCCTTATGAAGAGAGAATTTGGACAGTTTAACATTTTTGTTAATGGTTTGTTTTCCACCTCAAACTATGTTTGCCATCTAGTGATTAATCCATGCCATTACAACAACCTGTCCCACACTCCTGGTTTCTCAGCTCCAGTTAAGCCTTCAGACTCCCGTTGGCTGTCACTTCTACCCTGAACTTCACTTTCCACATGTCCTGCTTACAGACATTGGCATGTAGAGACATCAATAATGAAGTCTGACCCCTCAGAGAGTAGTGATAATATTCACATGAAAGAAAATGCAGTTGTTTATGAGAAATGAACGTAAGAAATTACTATGAGAAGTTTAAGTAGGATCTGATTTGAAAGTTAGGCGGTAGCAGCACCGTTGTGTGACTATAGGTTACTGAGATACGCGGCTGAGACTCCAACCACGATGGGTTCCACAGTCATTCCCCGGCTTTCTCTTCTTCGTGTCTCTTCCAAATGGAGACAAAGACTTTTAACAACATTGCCTCCAAATGGGTGATACCTGTTTGGACATAATTCTCCAAGTTTCTGGCTTTCTGAATGTAGATCAAAGTAAGGAGCTGCACGTTCTTCTATTTGTGACATCTTTGAGTAGCTAAGTCTACTCAACAGCATTGCTTTCAAAGGCTGTCGTTAATTAGTTGGAAGAATGGGCCAAAAAATACTGTGTTATATATGCAGGGGATTTAAAATCATCAATCACCCAGAATTCTTGAAGGACCCAGGGAAACATTTAACCTCTAAACCAGAGCTTTCAGAGCTGAATTAGTTTCTAAACCATGATGATTTCTGCATTGTTGGAAATTATTCTAGTAGGTCCAGTATGTCTTTTTGCCCCAGAGATCTAAGCTATGGGAAATAATTTACTCAACAGTTATGAACTGAATGCCTATTGGCCAATCTCTGAGCTAGGATATAACAATAGATATAATATGTTACACATGAAATAATTATGTAAGTCTTTTTGAGAAATTTGTTATAGCCTCTCTCCTTTCTTCCCCTCCTCCTCCCCTCCCCCATTCCCCACACACCTTCAATGAGCTCCAAGCAAGTCTTTCTTGCAATGAATTTTGTTCTAAGAGGATTATGCTGTGGGTACAATTCCCACTTTACTGCCAAGGTCACTTATTTTTCAGTTTTTTATGAACTGTTAGCCTGGAAAATAGCTTCTGGTCTCCAATCTGAAAGCAGTCCTGAAGCCCTGAGATGGGATAGAATACACGGTGGGAAGCCATCGGCTCAGTCTCTAACACATGTGAGGGGCTTGGCTGTCGTTTTAAGCTGTTACTGTATGTATCTTCCAGTTGTTGAGTCTGTCTGCCTCTGATTTTTGCAGGGAAGGCCGGAGGTACCGGGTGTATGTCGTGATACCACTTCTGCCGGGGTTTGAAGGAGACATTAAAACTGGCGGAGGAAACGCCCTCCAGGCGATAATGCACTTCAACTTCAGGTGCCAGAATCCTAGTGTGCTCTGTTTTCAGCTTTCAATCAGCTGTGCCCAACAGCTGGTGAAAGGAATGGAAATGTTTCTCCATATCTATTCAGTGGAGTGTTGAACAAATGAACATTTGTCTTTATTTTACTCTGAATCTTGGTCTGTTTACTAGTTGGTAAAATTCAAATAGAACCTAAAATCATAAAGAGTAGGCCTACGACACATGGCAACTATAAAAAAACTAAAATATTGATCTCATTTATATTTGTTGCCTAGTATATATGTACATATAATATTTATAATATATAAGATACATAGTATACATATTGTAAATGTAAAATAATGTATAATAAATATCACATATAAATATAATGTAAAATATAAAGTATATGGAGTTATTGACTCCATTTATAATATACATATTTATGTATACTAAAGAACTAAAGTATTAGTCTCCTAATATTTTAAAATATTAGTCTCACATATATTTTATATGTATATATATTTATTTTTAATATGTATGTATATTACATATAGAAACAGGGACTTTATATATTATATAAAATATATGAATAAAAATATATATGCCTATTGATTTTTAAATTATTGTTAAAGCTACCAAATAGTTATTGACATTTATATATTCTTTGCAGTTATATAGAAAAAAATGCTTAAAATGCTATGATTTGTACAAGTTTGTTTATGATTTTCTAGGTAGTAAATCCTTCAACAAGGTTGTAAAAATACGCTGCTAGAAGCATGAAGGTTCTTTCCAAGCTCCTGAAATTTTAATTCTTTTTTTCTACCACTTCTTAGCTAAAATTATAGGGGAAATGGTTAAGTTCTATTCTTGATATTCTAAAAATAACAGTGACTATGCACTGCTCAAAAGGCACTTGAGCTCTGGCTGGTTTGGCTCAGTGGATGGAGCGTTGGCCTTCAGACTGAGAAGTCCTGAGTTTGATTCTGGTCGAGGGCTCATGCCCGGGTTATAGGATCAATCCCCAGTGGGTGGGGAGAGGGGGGATGCAGAAGGCAGCCAATCCATGATTCTCTCTCATCATTAATGTTCCTATCTCACTCTCACTCTCCCTTTCTCTCTGAAATCAATAATAATAATAATAATAATAATAATAATAAAAACATATATTTTATAAAAGGCACTTGAGGCTTCAGCCTTGGCCAGTGGAGCATCATGAAGAGGGTTGAGGGGGCCTAGCTGGTGGGCAGGTGTGGAGAGGGTTTCTCTCTGTCACGTAGCTGAGAAAGATAATAGGAGTGAAGAGGCAGGTGGACATCCTGGGCATGGCTCCAGGTCCCAGCTATTAGCTCTGTAACCTGAGATACAAAAGAATCCTACGCAAGATCCCCCTTTTAATAACACAAAGCAAAGTACAGAACCTGGGTGTTTTCTTTTAATATCCCTTGTTTTTCAAAGTGCCTGTAAGTTGGCCATTTTTATAACCAAACCTTTTTTTTGAGGACAAAGGAAACCTCACAGAACCCCCAGTATGTAACACAAAAAAGGGTTTGGAGCCTTCATCAAATTAGGGATGGGGGATTAGATGCCTTGCTGCTGGGTCCCTCTTCCCCCTTGTAGGATCTGAGGGCTTCTGTGACAGTTTGAGTGCCTCGTGGTGGTGGAAACTTTTTTTTAATCCTTTTATTTTATACAGACTTTTCAAGCTTCTTTCTGTATGCTGGGGTTTCAAGTAAAGATTATTTTGTTTGTTTGCTTGTCTCTTCTTGAGGAATTTTGCCTGGTTACAGTAAGAGAGAACTTAAGCTGCGGTTTGGTCTATACACTTCGTTTGAAGATGGGCCCATTTCTACTATTATATGATGTATAACATGACAAACAAAGCTTTTCAAGTATTTAAGGCCCCGACATAATGTTTAATCAGCTATTAACCACTCTAGCTGCCATTCTAATGTTATTTTTGGAATATTGTCAATTGTAATTGTTATTTTGTGTGATTATTTTCTTGAGTTTGAACCAGCTGAATAAAATAACATGGTTGGCTTTTGTTCAGCAACTAAACCTATAACCTTTTATTATGCAAAACATCTCTATTTGCTGGCATCATCTGTAATATCAGCATTTCTCAGGCATAACTGTATTTTTAATTGCTTTCACAAAGCAAGCAGATGGAGCATAGAATTTTTTGTTTTGTCAGTCTTTACAACTCATAGGCTATTATCAGTCTTAAGAAACAAAATCATTAATAGTCAGTTATTTGAAACTATTTTTCACTTTTAAGGGGCTTGCCAACTTTACAGAGAGCCCAAGTGTAATAGTTTCTTTAATTATAAAATTATTCTGCTAAGTTTTTGCCCTTTTTACCTTTGAAAGCAATGTGATTGTGTAAGTATTCTTATCTACGGAGACAGTCTACATTTATCTTCACTGTCAACAAATTTTCTACAAAGGAAAATTCATTCATAATCCATCTTTTAAAAATAGCATCTCTTTCTGAAATAAATTACATAATTTTCCATTTACCCACCTCAAAACAACTACCTTGTTCCATCAGTAGCATTACAAAAGTAATATTTATTGTTTTTCATGTTTTAGATTTTTTTTAAAAATCTATGTAGCATTTTTTTTTCTAAACACTTGTTCTGTTTTTACCTATATTATGACTAAATCCCACAAATTGGGATTAGTTCCTTTGCCACCTCCCTAATGATTTCCTTTCTATACATATTTTTAGGACCATGTGCAGAGGAGAAAATTCCATCCTTGGACAGTTAAAAGTAGAGCGTAAGTAACTGCTTTTCTTTTCTTTTCCTCCTTGGCTGTTTTGACAACATACCAATAATCATTAATATTTTAATAGTGTGATTTTAGAACTCTATTTACAAAAGGTATCCCATGCAATACTTAACAGAGATCAATTTATTTTCATTAAATCATCCAAACCAATGACTTGAGATGCACAGGTAATAAAAATCAAAGTATTTTATAATGTGTTTTATTATTTATATTTATTTGTAATAACTGTTTTTGATAATAAGTGAGGTTTGTAAAGCATTTCACAAGATCTTACATATATCTTCTCTTATGATCCTTCCCCCCAGTCCTAGGTAGTAAGCAGGACAGACGTCATGCCTGCATTAAAGATGAGGATAATACTTCAAGGTTAACTGTATTCATGTGGCCTCCTATAAATGTAATAATTAGGGTCTAAATTTTTTAGGACATTATACTGGAGGTAAATAAGAACACAATAATAACTTTCACTTATTTTAATTCTTCCTATTTTCAAAGGCACTTTCTCAGATACTTTCTTAAATAATCCTTCTACGTAGTTCTTAACTAGAATATATTATAACCCAGGGTTTACTTGTCTATAAAATAAATTATAAAATAAATTATGTAATTTATTTCAGAAAGAGATGCTATTTTTAAAAGATGGATTATGAATGAATTTTCCTCAGTTATGTGAACTGACTCTAACTTCAGCACATAATAGGTGCTCAATAATGTTATATATCCTGTACAATAGAAAGTTCCAACAAGAAATAAGCTCAAGTCAGAACCCAAATTGTCTGATCTTCAGTTCAGATTGGATTTGTGTTGTAAAAAAATTGCAGGTGCTCAATAAAATCTAGACTTTATCCAGAAGAAGATAAAAGGAGGTTGATGAAAGCCTCTGAATCCTGAAATTCCAGGCCTGAAAGGGAGGGCAGTTGGGGACGATCAGGCCTACAGGGGAAGGTAGTGGGGGTGACCAGGCCTGCAGGAGAGGACAGTTGGGGGAGACCCAAGCCTGCAGGAGAGGGAAGTTGGGGGGAATCAGGCCTATAGGGGAGGGCAGTTGGAAGCACCTGGCCAGCAAGGGAGAGCAGGTAGGGTGACTAGGCTGGCAGCGGAGAACAGTTAGGAGTGACCAGGCAGGCAGGGGAAGGCAGTTGGGGTGATCAGGCTGGCAGGGAAGCAGTTAGACATCAACCAGGCTGGCAGAGGAGTCATTAAGGGGTGATTAGGCTGCCAGGCAGAAGCAGTTAGGGGCAATCAGGCAGGCAGGCAGGCAAGCAATTGGGAGCCAGCAGTCCTGGTGAGATCGGGCCTAACCGGGCAGTCAGACATCCCTCAGGGGGTACCAGATTGTAAAGGGTTCAGACTGGGCTGAGGGACACCCCCATGCAAGAACTTGATGCACCAAGTCTCTAGTTTAGATATAAAAAGAATATACTGATCCATGCTACAATATGCATGAACCTTGAAAATATTATACTAAGTGAAAATAAACCAGACACGAAAGGACAAAGGCCACATATTTTATAATTCCATTGTTTATTTAAAAAAAATTAACAGTCAAGAAAGTAGATTAGTCATTCCAAGGTCTGGGGAGAGAATGGAATGGAGGGTGACTCCTAATAAGTATGGCTTCTTTTGGGGGTAATAAAAATGTCTTAAGATTAGATAGTGGTGATAGTTGTATAGCATCTCAATATACTTTTAAAAAACACTGATTTGTATACTTTAAAAGCTGCATTTTTATTGTACATGATACTTTAAATGATTTGGAAGCTTTTAAACTCAAAATAATGAATTAAACTTTTAGTGTGTGTGTGTGTGTGTGTGTGTGTGTGTGTGTGTGTGTGTGTGTTCAATGTTCAATAATTTTTCACTAATGGTCTGCTCAGTCTAAAAAGAAAAAACTTTAGAAACAATCTTTGACATAGACATGCACATCACCAATAACAAATACTTTCCAAAGTTGTATCTGATTGCATCCAGGTCAGAGAAGATTTACCAGAGTATTATCCCTAAACTCAATTTTCTAATGGTTTACCATGAAGATGATAGTGAATGAGTAAGTCTAAAAGATACACTGATAAAAACCAGTAGAGCCATTCAGTGGTGACCATGGCTAGTAAAATGCAAAAGTGAGGTTAGGGGAGAATAAAAAGTCCAAACAAGCTTGTTTAGTTTCTCAACCATAAAAATGGCCCACGCTTATTCAAAAGCATTTTTTTGGCTCTGGACCCTTTTCCTGCCTTTGCCTATTCAGGGGAAAAATTGGATTTTAACAGAAACGTAATTTCAGTGTTAAGCCCTCTTATGAAAAGATTTCCAAGTACCCTGGGAACAAGTCAAAATCAGATATCTCAGTGGGGGAGATGTTCATACTCTTAACAGGGAAGAACAGATTAATTGCATAATGCCCCTTTTTGAGGTACCATGTTCTATTGTTGGCTTTGTTTTTGTAAGTGCATACTGGGCTTTAACTACATGAACCTGCTGATCTCTAATTGGATAGAGAACTATAGCTGTCTACTGTTTCCGTTCTTTAAAAATAACAAAACTGCCGCTGTGAATATGTTAACATTCCTGAAAAGAAAACCAGCAGCTATTGGTGTATAATTATCTAATACTCCAATCTCCAGGGATTTCGTGTTTAATTTAAAGCATTTCTTTATCATTTTTTATGCTTATTGTGAGTTGTGACATTTTAGCATTCAATTAAGTATAATTTTAACAGAAGGTCTGGATGTATTCAAACAGGATTAGAAATGTACAGATGCCAAGTGCTACACGTTTTTAAGAACCAAAGCTTGTAACAACTATTGAAGTCCTTTCATAGAATTCCCTTATAAATATCGAGAGTCTATTGTATTGACTTCCTCATCTTTCAAGGTATAGATGTACCAATGTTCATAACAGATAGGTCCCAGGGATCTGTATAAACCTCAAGATTCCCAAATACCTATTTCATCTGGAAACCTCCCTGATATGTTTTCATCTGTTGCTTCATATTCATGCTTGCACATGTTCCTGGCATTCTCTCATTTTCTTTAAAAGGCGCTTGTTTCCTCAGCCTGTCCTCACAACACAAGTGAACACCGCCAAAGTTGTATCTAGTTTTCTTCACAGAATAAAATACCGGCCGAAATAGTTTCTCAGCTTGCTTTTTCTTGCTAGATGGGCGCGCCACTGCATTTGACAGGCCGCACTTGAAATCACCCCAAATCTTCACTTTCTGACTGAGGGACCCTTATCTTTTAGGTCCTGTTACTGGTACTAGTCATTAGCGTTCTTCTGGAAGGCATAGTTCATAAACAACTTAGGTTTCTATCACTTCCTAAGAATATTTCATAGTCAAGGCTGTGGGCTGGACTGTGTGGACTGTGAGGCACTCTGGGTAATGGATGTGACTGATACTCTCCAGCCTACCTTTGGGAGGGCACCAATCCGTGCCTTTGAAATTTATAAATTATTAGGTCTTTAACCTTCACGCTGCTATCACTAATCTTTAAAAAAAATATTTTTAAACAATTTTGGGCTTTCAGTTTCTAGAACTGCTATACATCTTTCATTCTGACTTCTCAAATGGTAGCATGTTACCTTTTTGCTTCATCATTCTCTCTTAATAGATAGGTGAGTATTTTTCTCCTGGACCATGAGGAATAAGTTGCAGCCATAATACTCATTTACCCCTGAATACATTAAGTGTGTGTTTTGGGTGTGGGGGGGGGACATTTTTAAAGCAGCTATAAGTCAATTATCAAAACAAATAAAATTAACATTGATGTCATACTATTATCTTACTGTAGGCATTCTTGAAATTCTGCCAGCTATCTTACTGATGTGCTTTACAGCAAAAGGGGGATAGGGATGCTTTATTCTGACCCAGGACTTAATTAATAATCATGCGTTGCATTTGCTTACCATGTATTTTTATTTGTATTTAACCTGAAATAATCCCTCAATCTTTTTTTTTTTCTTTTGGGAAGGTGAGAGACTTTTATGATATTGATAGTTTTAAAGGATATAGATTAGTTAATTTGTAGAGGAGCCTCCAATGGGGGTATATTTATTGTTTCCTCGTGATTAAATCCAGGTTATTCATTTTCAGCAGGGACATTACACAAGTGATGTTGTTCCCCGTGGGTGGTACCAGGAGGAATACGATGTTGCTTTGCCCCATCACCAGTTGTATGAACTTTGACCACTGAGTGAAGGTGGTATCTGCTCGGTTTCTCCACATAAAATCACTGTATTTCCCTCTGTAATTAATAAGTATTTTGTGGGAAAATACTTTGAGTCTATGTAAATACCCTGCTTTTCATCAAACATTCAATAATGTTTTTAGCATGCATTGAGTCTTTTCTGAATCAATCACTACTACTATGATTCAATTATTATTACTGGTAATTGCTAAATGCTAATTTTCAAATTCCTTTATTTTTTTATATTTATTACTTTTTTTCTTCTAAATTTCTTAGTTACAATTCTACTAAAATGAGAGCTTTCCCTTCTTTGACATTTATGTATTCATTCTTATATTTATATTGGTATGAATTTATGGATTCTTATTTTATTCAATGGATCATAATTTTTGATGTTCAGGTCACATGTTTGGCCTTTATGGGATTCTCTGAAGGGGTTTTCAACAGGCCTTTGTTTTGTTTTATTTGTTTGTTTTTACTGGCACAACAAGGGTTTCAGACTCATCTTGTACATTCCTAGAACTAGCCCTGTAATCAGTCATTTCTCCAAAGAACCTGGGTTCTTTCTGTGGAAAATAGAACTTAGAAACCAAAATATGGGTGCTAGATATGATCATTGCTACTGAATTATCACTGCTTTAGACCCTTTGTATTCTGTCAATCATCTATCATCTATCTATCAATTATCTATCTATCTATCTATCTATCTATCTATCTATCTCCATATCTCCATATTGATATCTCCAATTTTAATTCCCCAGCAAAGGATTCCTTTCTTTTATAGTGAGAAGCCTGGCTCCTATT